ATATATATATATATATATATATATATATATATATATATATATATATATATATATATAACGTTAGAGGCAAGTTGGTAATAGTTTCGTTATTTCTGTCAAATATTTGTCGATGTTGTTTGTATCACACTAACCTGTCTCGAAGGGATATCTTGAGAAACACGTTGAAAAATATCGTTAAATAAACTTACACACTCGCAATCGTATTTTCGTCAGAAAAGCGCGCCGCGTTCGATTGATAATGGCGCCACAGAGACGCCATTTAAGCGTAGCGGGTTAACGCGTATATCGTCGTTTCGCTCAACTGCGGCCAAGTATCCCCCACGCTCCACCATGCAAAATCGTGTTAGGAAGACGATGACGAGGAGCAAAAATACTAAGCTTTGAACTTAAAATCAAGTCCGCGTTTAATGTGCCACGACAATTTTTTGCGGAATTTTTGTGATCGATCTCGCGGCACTTGCAATCAGCCGGCAACCTGATTTATCCTGGCACGGATTCCATGGCACAATTTTTGGTCCATTTTTTAACACTTGTATCACTAAATTTCTGCGTAATAAATTTCTTACTAAATTTCTGCTTAAATCGTGAAAACGGCGCGCTGCTCCGAACCTTCCTCTTTCGAATAAAGATCCAAGAAGAACATTGTTTAAAGGACGACATAATTAATTCATAAGAGGTCGTTGAACTCGTTTTTTAGGTTAGCTGTAACGCTACAAAGTCCAAAATACACAGCGCCGTTTTGAGAAGTCAAGGTGGCCTGAGCTAAAAAGCTCGGATAAAAAATTTTCCGAAATTGTTGTTGCTGCTCTTTGTTCTTCTCGAAGTACACGTTAACTTTTATTTCAGACATTTTCTTGTCACATTAGCGCGATTGCCTAAAAAATCGGTGCGACCGTTGCGATGAACACCCTGTACACTCCCCTCCAAAAGTATTAGGACGCTCGCAGAAAGTTAAATAAATTTGAGAAACCGCGATAGGAAATTGTTAGAATTTCTTCCATTTATTTCAAAACATTACGACAAAAGAAACGTCAATTTTATGAAAGAAAATTCAATTTTCCTCTCGACGATATATCCACGGCGTTTCGTAATTATTTCGTGAACTAATTCGCAAGCGTAATTCACGAGCGTAAATCTCGTCGGTAACATTGTCCGCATACTTATCGGCGTCGCTACGGAATACAACAGTTACGCTGGTCAGACGAAATGCTCGTCTTTGAATAGCTGCGCTAGTAAATAATATTCGAGGTTAGACGATCAGCGACAGTGTACGTCGATATTTTTATCAAAGCAACGATTACTTTATCCAAAGATAACGCTGAAACGAACAGCTTATTATTAATTAACCAAACTATAAGTGCCTGAAGAATCAGAATTCATCAGAATTGTGAACGGAATCAGCATTCACAGCAAATACAGGAATATCTCATAAGACTCAAAGTTTTCATAAGCTTCCGAACATCAAAAGTCGATAAACGAATTAAAACTGCGATTGCTGTTATTTCCATATCATAAATTATCAATATTAAACGTATAATATTATTATAATATATATTATATTAATTTTATTATATTATATTATATTATATTATATTATATTATATTATATTATATTATATTATATTATATTATATTATATTATATTATATTAATTATATCATATTAATAATTTATATTATAATATTTATTTCTCCAGAAGATTACACACTGTAAAATGTTAGATTTTATTACGTTTATAAAATACCGCAGCGTTTGGGTCCGTAGTAATACCCGCGCTCACTCTACAGAGACTATCTGGAGCCGGTGTGGGTTTAATGAAACGGGCGGAAGACTCGAAATGGCCTTGCGGAGGGATGGGTGTTTTCTAGATACTAGGACACAAGACCCCGCTCGTCCCGTCGACAGACTTGGCGGCGCCGCGACGCGACCGAATCCTATCTCGAACCGACGCGATGCGACGCGTCGCGATGGAAGGACATTTCGTCAGCCGCTCTCTGTCCTTTTTTTCCTCGCACGCGGCTTCCTGCCGACGGCCTTTGTCCCGCAATAAAGAACAGGGCTACTCTCGTAAGACGCCGCCGCGCCGCGCCAGTTCGGGTCCCTGGCGTCGCGACGCCGTCGATACATGTCAGAGAGTCCGGGACAGATTCAACCGTTATTATCATCCGATATCATCGGATGACACACGCGACAACAGCTGTTTACGGCCGCGCCGTTTTCATCTGCATTGCGGTCCGGAAGTTCAAAGCGTTCTCGAACGACGGATAATCCTTGAATCTCTCTCTGTCTTGCAGCCTTCCTCCAATATCCGAATTGTCTGTTGGGTTCGTGATTAGACCGTGTACAACCCTATTCAAAAGTATCGGGACACCTGCTGGGTTCAGTGTAAATTGTAATTTCTCGTTCTGTTTAGGTTATGTTTTAGGTTCGGCGTTGAGTTTTATGGCATCCTGTTGTCGAAATTACGACATTAAGTGTTCTTCACTCGTGCAATTAGCTTAACCGTTTATTGAATTTTATGCGAACGCTGATTCCGTTCACAATTCTGATGAATTCTGATTCTTCAGGCATTTATAGTTTGGTTAATTAATAATAAGCTGTTCGTTTCAGCGTTATCTTTGGATAAAGTAATCGTTGCTTTGATAAAAATATCGACGTACACTGTCGCTGATCGTCTAACCTCGAATATTATTTACTAGCGCAGATATTCAAAGACGAGCATTTCGTCTGACCAGCGTAACTGTTGTACTCCGTAGCGACGCCGATAAGTATGCGGACAATGTTACCGACAAGATTTACGCTCGTGAATTACGCTTGCGAATTAGGTCACGAAATAATTACGAAACGCCGTGGATATATCGTCGAGAGGAAAATTGAATTTTCTTTTATGAAATTGACGTTTCTTTTGTCGTAATGTTTTGAAATAAATGGAAGAAATTCTAACAATTTCCTATCTCGGTTTCTTAAATTTATTTAACTTTCTGCGAGCGTCCTAATACTTTTGGTGGGGAGAGTACAGGGTGTTCATCGTAACGGTCGTACCGATTTTTGAGGCATTTGCGCTTATGTGACAAGAAAATGTTTGCAATTATAAGTTAACGAGTACTTCGAGAAGAACGAAGAGCAGCGACAAAAATTTCGGAAAATTTTTTATCCGTGCTTTTTAGCTCAGGCTGTCTTGACTTCTCAAACCGGCGCTGTGTATTTCGGATTTCGTAGCGTTCCAGCTAACCTAAAAAACGGGTTCAACGATCTCTTATGAATTAATTATGTCGTTCTTTAAATATAATGTCCTTCTTGGATCTTTATTCGAAAGAGAAAGGTTCGGAGCAGCGCGCCGTTTTCACGATTTAAGCAGAAATTTAGTAAGAAATTTATTACGCAGAAATTTAGTAATACAAGTGTTAAAAAGTGGGCCAAAAATTGTGCCATGGAATCCGTGCCAGGATAAACCAGGTTGCCGGCTGATTGCAAGTGTCCGAGATCGATCACAAAAATTCCGCAAAAAATTGCCGTGGAACATTAAACGCGGACTTAATTTTAAGCTCGAAGCTTGTATTTTTGCTCGTATTTTGGTCCTTGTAGCGTTATAGCTAACCTAAAAAATGAGTTCAACGGCCTCTGCTGTCACGTGGATTAATTACGTCGTCCTTTAAACACAATGTTCTCTATATTATGCAATATTTTTATTGGCAAACGACATTTGCTTCAATTGCTTAATATTCGGTTCGATACTGTATCGCAGCAAGAATTGCATTCGAAATTCGATCGAGGAATCGTCTCCCGTATGTTATTTTACGGACAGAAATATTCTCGGGAGATGCAATCAATTTTTCGTTTAAAGCCGCGTCATCATTGGGAGTTTAATTAAATGGCTAATTGGAGTATCGTCTCCCGCGAAACGTTCTAGAAAGAGCCAGGAAATTCTTAGATTAATGCCACGTCGTAATGGAAATTCAATTTCAACCCTTAACTGCTATTGCCTGTCCGTGGGACCGTTTTTAATTACTTATTCATCCGCGCTGATATAATTATGAAAAAAAGGATAGAATAAAAGGAACATTTTCGATATACTTCTATGTAAATAACTTTTAATAGGGTAACTTTTCACCCGGAAACATGGCGAACAATTCTTCGCGCGAAATAAAATATTTCCGAGGCGATTGTCCGAAACGCGAATTAAATACAATAATTTCTGTTACATTGGGAACCGTTTGGTGTCATCCATATGGCTCGGAATCGGCAAATGAGGGGTTCCTGAGGTCAATCGAAGTAACCGCAGCATTTGGTGCGTCCGCAGTAATACCCGCGCTCGCCCTACGCTCGATCGACGCGGTAACAAAGCGTCGACAACGCTGAACGCCGTAAGTCGCCACAAGAAATGCTCGATCGCGAAGATTATTTCGGTTTACGGTTAAAATAGCTTCGAGTGCGAAGGGTTAAACGTGTAAAGAAATTATCAGACTCATTCTTAGAAAATAGCACACTGCAAAATGTTAGATTTTATTACTTTTACAAGATACCGCAGTATTTCGGGCATCCGCAGAAATACCCACGCTTGCCCTACACTCGATCGAGTAAATTAACAAAGCGTCGTGAACACTGAACGCCATAAGTCGCCATAAGAAATGCTTGACCGCGAAGAATTTATTATTTATTATTTAATTTAATTTAATTTTATTATTTAATTTTATTTCACAGATGGCGCGAGGGTGCACAGTTGACCACAGTCGCTGATCAGCGATTTACAATTGCATGGGAGCGCGCGCGCGCGCGCTCGTTCGTCAGCTGCGTGGAGATTGTCATTTACGCCGTGACATAACGTTGTCATGCGAACGCGGAGAGAATTCTGGCGAGCACGGCGTAGAACAACAGCAAAGACACGGCCAGCCCCGCGGCCCCCCCGCATCTATCGATCTCGTCCTCCAGGGGATGCTCGGTGAAACAGCCCTCGAGGCGCCGTCTTTTCAGGTCGTTCAGCGGCATTTTATGGCAGGGCGCGCTCTCGGACCCGTTCGTGTACTCCAACGGCGAAATGATCACCGGCGTCACCTCTAATCTTTTGTAACAGGTGGCGTACATCGCGTCCACCACCACCAGCAGCAGATTCGTGTGCGGCACCTGCGTAAAACGATATCATATTTATTTAAACAGCGAACACGCTCGTAACAATCCGTAACGCATTGTTATCGCGCTCCGAGCGCAATTTTATCCCCGAGAGAAATATTTTTCCTCGGCCAGATCGCGCGGACAACATTGTTAAACCATTGTGTACTCGATACTGGAACTACCAAGTTAAACGACTGGTTTCTCATTTGTTTCTTTATAGTATTTCATATTGTAAAAATATTTCTAGGAGAAATATTTAGGTACACTTCTTTATTGAAGTGTATTACTTCTTTATTTATGTTATTACGTATACACTTGTATTATTTATTTTATTTTTTTTTATATTGTACACTTATACAGGGTGTCCCGAAAATGTCTAGCAATCCGGAAATGGGAGGTTCCCGAGGTCATTTGAAACAACTTTTTCCTTTGCGAAAATTTTCTCCGACGCTTCGTTTACGAGTTATTAACGAAAAACCATGACCAATCGGAGAGCGAGTGCGGCTGACGCCCCGCCCTCGCGACTACTGCCGCTGCGCCAGACGGTCGGCGCGACGCGGCATTGGCCGCGAGGGCGAGGCGCCGACCACACTCGCTCTCCGATTGGTCACCGTTTTTCGTTGATAACTCGTAAACGAAGCCGCGGATCGCATTTTCGCTAAGGAAAAAGTTGCTTCGAATGACCTCAGGAATCCCCTGCTTTCGGACTGCGAGACATTTTTGGGACACTCTGTATATAAAGTGTATATATGTGCTTCTTTATTTTTAAAACTGTACGCAGTGCTGTGATTGTTCAGTTGGAATAAACATTTTTATTACAAGGAATAAATTGCAACGAAAACGATACACATTAATTGCTTTTTTAGGACTTGGTAGTTCTAGTGTTAATACTCAGATGACGAAGTTTGGGTCCATTCGGACCCAAATGGGGGTTATCTTGAATACAAGATAATATAGTTGCGAATAAATGAGCAATGCAAGGAATTTGGAATTATTTAAAGAGATTTGCAGTTCGTCAACGACGGTAATGTAAGTCGGCGAAAAATAAGGTCGAAGGGTCGAGAGGTGATTTGGCTCAACCGGGAAGCGAAAGAACGTGTTCTTTCACGACTTATTTCTCGAAAACCGCGAGACTCGGCCGGAAAACAATGTTCACATATAAAAAGCTCCTTTTCAGAGAGTACTTCTCGTAATTTTTCTCCGAATAATCTCGCGTCATTTGCAAAGTTACGACTCTCAGAGAAAAAAAGGTCCGAGCGCGCGCGCAAATGTGAACGACGTGTTTGGCTCGAGACGAAAGGACGCGTTCTTTGGCAATTTATTTCTGGAAAACCGCGAGGCCCGGTCGGACAACAATTTTCATGCTTAAAAAACAGCGTTTCAGAGAGCGCCTGATAATTTTGTTCCTCAAGAATTCTCGCGAATTCGAAAGTTACGGGTCTCGAAAGAGTTGCTCGCGGTCTCAGAAAAATAGGAAATTCTGCTGGCTCGACAAGAACGCGTTTTTCAGCAATTTATTTCTGGAAAACCGCGAGGCCCGGTCGGACAACAATTTTCATGCTTAAAAAGCAGCGTTTCAGAGAGCGCCTGGTAATTTTGTTCCTCAAGAATTCTCGCGAATTCGAGAGAGAAATAATAAATTCTTGCTGGCTCGAAACAGGATCGCTTACTCTGCGAGCATAGAACGGCCTGGAGCAGTAGTCCTCGTGATTGGAGACGCCCTCGCCGGCCACCGTGTAGTTCATCATGTACAGGATCCTCTTCTGATCGCAGGGATAGTGGTACAGATAGGGTTTGGGGGGCGGCGGCGGGTCCGGCGCGTCCTCGTCGGCGTGAACTTTGGCCAGGCCGACCGGCAAGTTGGCGAACTGGGTCGCGAACCACGCGGCACGCAGCAGAAACCAGAGCAACAGTTTCCAGAGGTGCATCAGCGGGTCCGTCAGAGTGCTGGCCGCATCCTGGATGCGCTGGAAAACAGTTTCGTGGCCCGTGGGAAAATGTTTTTGCCGTCGCGCCGGAGGCCGGACAACCTGGCCGGTCTCTCTGGCCGAGTTTCCCCACTTTATTTTGCGAAAACGTTTCCCCGCGAAACTTCCCGCCGTGCTTCCGAACCACGCTCCCGACTCGACAACTTTTTCTTCTTGCCGAGCCGCGAACCCGCCCGCAGACGATATTAGAAACTCCGACGGCGAGTCGGTGCCGTCTAACCGACGCCGAGCGTCTATCGCGTTTCCAATTTCGTAATGCACTCGGACTTTATTTGCGCGATTTTCCTAGCCGATTGTTGCAACGAGGATGCAACGATCTTTCTCGATGTACGCGAGTAGGATCGAATAGATCTTAGAGATATTGATTAGAGAGAAATTACTGTACAGTAATGTCTCCCTAACTGACGCTCAGATTACAGTAATGTCTCCCTTAATGACGCTCAGATTACAGTAATGTCTCCCTAACTGACGCTCAGATT